TGCAGCTTCCATTAACTTCAAGGGCAATCGTAGGAGCTCATCACCTGAGGCCTCTTATTAAGGGAACATAAATATAGGTTTAGGAGCCTAACTTAAGGCACTCAAGTTTGAAAAATTTGGCCTTAGTTTCCAGGACTGCCTGTATAGCACCTCTCAAAATCACTACATTCAGGGTTTTTTTTTTTTTTTTTAAAGACCACTTCATTCTCTAATACCAAGAAATCCAAAATTGGCCATCTCTATTTTGAAAACATCTGTGGGCAACAAATTGGTGTAGGGTTTTGAAATCATCAGTTCTGCTCTTATTTCCATTCTGTAATTAATATGACGTCAACCTGCTGCTACATAATTCATTTTGACTGAAGATTTCCTTATTTTTGCTATTTGGCTGCTAAGAAACAGGCCAGAGATTTACTGTCAAGAAAATAAAACAAAAGCCTCACCTTCTCTTTGGAGAATTAGGGTACTTTGTCTTAAGAAAAAATGTTTTATAATCTGTTTTAATATAATACAAGAGATACACAAATCCGACCAAAGGGCTTCTCCATTTAACAAAAACAAAACATGTTAGATCTTAACTGTGGCCATTTTCCAGGAGAAGCTATTGTAGTAACTTGACAAAATGCTCAGTATCTGGTGGATTAAATCATTCACGGACACTGTGGTTTGGTGTGTTGGTTTCCATCTTGATTATGACTAGCAGTCCCTGCGGTGTCTGGGACTTCAGAGGAACACTGTAAATACACCTGGTTAGAAAAAAAATTTCTGCAGAAAATTTGACCTTTCTGGGAAAATTATAAAATGGAACATTTTGATTTGGAAATGCCGCTGTGGTGCCCCATGGGAACTATAGTTCAGGTGCCTCCCGCCTCCATTCTCATTTATAAGCTGGGTTTGTTGGCTAGACTACATCTTCTATGATGCACCAGGATCTCCCCTCTTGCTGAGCTGCTGTGACACATCATGGGAGATATAGTCGGGCTGGGGAGCCTGGTTCATATCGGAAATGTGGGCATGAGGCATCCAAACTACAGATCCCATGATTCAGTGTGGTAATATTTCCAATTTTTATTTTTTATTTTTTAGGTATTTGGTTTCTCATTGAACAGTCAATATTTTCTGCAGGAAGCAGAGACGTGTAGTGAAAAGAATTAATCAAAAATCCAATTTTCCATTGAAAACCAGTTTTGATGAAAATTTTTTCACCAGACCTAATTGTAAAGCTATTCCAGAGTTCATGCATAATAATTGAACAAACCTGCTGTTCATTGTTCAATGAAAACATAAAAAGGGAACAGGATTTTTATGTGGGGTTAAACCTCATTAGAAAGGTACTTATAAAAGGCAGACAATATTGTTAATGACAACACTACACTGAAAAAATATGGCTTTACTATTTGAAAGGTCAGGTACACCATGTCATCATACTTAAGGCTCAGCTGGTGATATTTTGGTTCTAAATTCATTAATTTTAGCAGCTAGAAATAGAACCAAAAAAATTCACTTTAGCCTGACACGAGCCAGACAGGATATCAATAGCTGGTAGTATTTTATATATTTAAGCGATTTTTTTTTCCCCCTTCATAGGTGAAAAAAAATAACTTCCTCAATTAATAATGCCCTCTTTCCCCCCCCCCCCCACAGTCTTTTCAAGAAGAATTTGCTTCATGATTACTCTAGTGAGTTTTGGAATGAGTCCTCTGCCCCAGTATTAGGCATGAATACACTCCTCTGCCCTAATGATGCAGGGTAATTGGAATACATCCTCATCTCTCAAAACAGAAAAACAACTCTCAAAAGCTGCAGCCCATCAGAAAACCATACAGAGTGTTACTGTCAAAGGGAAATTATCATAGATGAGAGTAGGTAATCAACAGCAATCAAGCTTGCACATCTGAAATAAAGCAGTTACTCTCAAGACCTATATCATGCTTATCCTACAGTAGGTCAAAACCCAACCCAGACTCATTGCACTTAGAAGGTTCTGAAATAAGATATTCATAAGATATTCCAGGTCACATGAAATATTTCTAAGTTATTATTAGCTAGATCTGGTTGTCATCTTCTCCGAGCGCATGATCAGTAACTATAATCTGTATCATAATGAGTGCATGCAGGTGGGTGGCTCCTTCTTATTATAGTGCATCTGCATGGCTAATCTAGTCATCAGGAGACCCAAGGATGACATCTGTCAGTTACCTTTATACACATGTTCTAATACTTAGTATTCTGGTTATACCTGGTGTTTTTTACCTGAGGGGAGGGTATGATAAAGCAAGCCATTGAGCAAATGGTGATGCTTGGCATGAATCTTGTTTCACTTTTTTTATTGCTCTCTCCTATGGTCCAATTACTATGGGTTGTGCCATAGGCTAGAGGAAAGACTGTGTTTAGATCTCCAGATTGGAAGTAACATAACAAATTTCCTCTGAGAATTACTTTCCAGTGGAAATTCAGGCAAGACCAATATTTTAAGCACTTGCCTAGTTTGTGGAAATCATGAATATATGCTGGTCTTTCAAAACTACTAAAATATGATTTGACACTATTCCAACAACCTAACTGAGGGTTTCTGAATGGAATAAAAATATATTTTGAGCTTTTATATTTGCTCACTGCTCTGGTGAATATGTAGTTTCTGTAAACAGCTAATGCATTTTGAGTTTACAACTCAACCTTGAGTCTACAGGGGCTTGGCTAGTATTTTTGTTAATACTTTAGCTAATTTAAGTAGATGTACCATATTCAGTATCTGCTCTTCTGTAGGGTAAAAGTTTAATATAGAAGAGACTAATTACATTGAGTGCTATTTGATGCCTTTGTAAAGTGAGTAGTTTGAGTAAATACCGAGCTCTTTTGTTGTGTGAAGGGTACAGCTGAAATATTTCAAGCTTTTGGATGTTGTGAATTCACTCACTCTTAATTAATTTTTCTGTCTTCTGCATACAGGTGTGTCATCAGATATTTGACCAATGCATGAATAAAAAGGTGTCCTGTCCAAACCATAATGTTGTTACTATTCCTAACTTGTGCTTATTGTGTAGAGGGTAAGAGGCAGATTTTTCAAAGGAAAAATGGGCGTTAAGTGCCCAACTCCCATTGATTTTTCAATGGTTGCTTGGTGGCTGAATGCCCTTTGTGCCATTAAAAACAATGAGGAGTCCTTGTGGCACCTGAGAGACTAACACATTTATCTGGTCATAAGCTTTTGTGGGATATAACCTACTTCATCAGATGCACGGAGTGGAAAATATAGTAAGCAGGTATAAATATACAGTACATGAAAAGATGGAAGTTGCCTTACCAAGTGGGGGGTCAGTGCTAACGAGGCCAATTCAGTTACGGTGGATGTAGCCCATTCCCAACAGTGGACAAGAAGGGCTGAATGTCAACTGTTGGGAATGAGCTACATCCACCCTAAATGGGGGACCGGAAGTCAGGACTCTTGGGCTTTTTGTCTTGGCCCTGCCATTTTGTTGTGTGACCTTGGAGAAGTGCCTTAATGGCTGTTCTTTGGTTTCTCCATCTGTAGAATATATACAATGAAAACAGCTTTGATGAGATGTTGTGATGGTTAATGACTTAGAACCAGATTTTCCTACCCTTATTTATGTTGAGTAATAACTTGCTCTTTGAGTAGTTCCATTTATTTCACTATTCATTACCATTCATTGTGAGTAAAGGTGGCAGGATCTGACTCCTAATGTTTGTAAAGTCTTTTGGAAAAGTGTAAAATATTTAGTGTGTCATGAATATTCCAAACTCATAATCTTCCTGATGAGTTTATGTGGTGGTGTAGTAAAAAAGAGAAATTATATTTCCCTCAGAAATAAATATTCGCAAATTTTGAAACCACTGAATTTTTAGATAACATATTTTGGCCCAGCCTTGAGTTGCTGAATTATAAGGATACCAAGTAAATCCACTTAAGACTTTAAGATGTAACACCCTATTGGAGGCAATTAACAACTCTGAGAAATCAAGTGAAAAGTGGTGAGGTTTCATGCTGAAGCAAAAAGACTCAGAGGTTTAGGGGAAAACATGGAAATTGCCTGAATGCAAATTAGGGGTGCACGTTAAATATTGGCTTAGCTATTAGTTAAGACTGACAAAAATAACTTTATTTTTCATTGTTGGATGGCAGGGAGGAGTCTGAGGAAGAATTCCATTCCCCAACTGCTCTAAATCAATAATCTGCTGTTGTTTTTGTCACCATTCAAATCCCATAGACTATAGTAACAAAGAGAGCTTTCACTTTGCCTTACTACTGAGGCCCATTGAAAGTGGAGAGCAGCATTTAGGTATGGCCTCCAGAGGCAAGTAATATGATTTATGCTCCTGTGTATTTTGTGCTGAAAAGCACAACAGAGATTGATGAGTGGACAGTCAAGCACGCTACACCTTTCCTAAGCAAACAGCTCATCACCAATATTTCCTAGTCTACTGTCACCTGAAAGAAGAAGGCTAGTGTTGGTAAACAACAAATAACCTAAATGCAAATAAAAATCTACCACTGTTGAACCAAGAGGAAAAAACCAGGGAGGTGACATGTCAAGATTCCATGCTAAATATTAATATGGAGTTTTAAAAAAAGCCTTAGCACTTAGAGACACTATTAATAATGGAGTGACTTCAGACACTAGAAAAAAGAAACCCACCTTGTGATGGGGTGTACAAACCCCACCCTGGAAAGGAAGGGGTTAAAGAGCTACTTTGGGCCAAGGCAACCCCACCCCAGCACATCTGAAAAGCATGCACGGCCTGGAGGAGGAGCTTGAAAGGGAAGTGGAGCAGCTCACTAGCAGGCAGCTTGTGGAGGTGAACAGATCTATGGGCCTCCTGATTCAGAGAGAGCTTTATGGGAGGTTCAGCTGCCTGGGGTTCCTGACAATTGAGAATCTACCTGATCTGCTCAGGGAAAAAAGGACTCTGGATGTTTGCATGGTCTGGGCTTTGTCCTTTAATTTATTTTGTTTCTATGTCTTTGCCCTTTTCTGTAGGGAGACTGGGAGAAAGCAATCCAGAGGAGCAGTGATGCAGCACTTTTTGGGGATGCAGAAACTTGCTGCCCACCACACGGCCCTGGATTCGCACCTGGCGGAGAGGGTGAGCCAAGATTCTCGTACAACATCTGGTTGGGGCTGAAGGTGAAAACCTACCTCAGATACAGGGGAATCTGGACTGGAAGATCATATAACTTGGAGGGCCATGACTCTGGAACCTTGGCCTGGTGGGGCCTGGGACCCCTTACCCGACAGCAGGGCTATCCTTTATCGGACTCTCTGTATACCCTGAAAAGGGTGGGCCCGATTCATGGCCTGGCCAGAGGTCTGAGTCACAGAAAGGTGCCAACTGTTGCAGGGCTAGAGCAGCTGTCAACAGGGGTCACCAGGGAAGAAAGAGAGCCTGCTATGACCTGCCTGACCACTAGGCGGTACCAGCAATGAGTGATCCCCTTCACATGCATGCTAGTTAGCTGAGTTGAGTTTACTGAGTACAGACTATTTACTTCTTAGTCCAGGAATATCCACAATGTGGCTAGCTGTTGATTATGAATGTTGGGTCTTGCAGTTGCTTTTTATCGCTGCATATGACCAGCATTCATATCAAGCTTGTACTGTCTGAAACCTTGGCTTTGGGATCAATCCAAATGGACATTGTGGTGCTTAGGACCAAATTTCATCGCAGTGAATTGACAGTAGGTATATTCATAGGCTGTGTGTTATACGGGGAAAATGACAAAAGCTATTATTCACTGACAACTTACTTTCCATTTCTTTTTGTTGCACTGTTTATTATGTATTCTAGCAACTCAAAATATTGAACAAAGTAAATAAACACTATGGAAATCCATAGATCAAAAATATTCATAATGCTTAGAAAGAAATACATATGTGTTTCTTTTGGTCTCTTTAGGAGGACTTTTGTTTTTCTGTTTTAGTTTAATTAAAAAGACAGCATGCACTAAACAGATAAAATAGCCACTCATTAGCAAAACTTGGCCAGATATTTTCTATCAATGCACTACTGTAAATGCGGAGTAATGCCACTGGCTTCCGTGGCGTAACACTGGGTTTATCCAGGTGTAGCTAGAGCTGGAGAAACATTGGGGAAAACGATGCACAAACACATTAGGGAATTCTGATCTGATCAAACAGACTTGTTAGGGAATTCCAAATTGTGTTATGATCTGACCATGTTCACACTCATTTGGTCTCTTGTGAATGCTCCTGTGACAGGATTTTGTTTGCATGAATATTTAGAGAAGAACTCTTATATGCATTCTGCCAGCTGGTGCCTGCAGAAGCAAGAGCCAGATTCAATATCTAAGGGTTGCTCTTAACATTTCAAAACAAAACCAGCTCGAACACCCACCCAGAAACCTAGGAAAATGAAATACCAACCCTGAATGTTCGTAATAGGCAACGATTGCCCACTCTCAAGCACTGACTCTGTGTATAATGAAAAGAAAACTTTTCTTTAATTGAGGGGAGAGGGAACACAGCATTAATTTGGGACCACAGTAATAATAACTGAAAAGCATGCAAATAATAAGTAAGACACCCATCCCACAGTATCTTGCCTAGTGTCCTTTGCCTTGGTTTTTCAACTTGTGAAAGTCTAATGGACAACTGTCCCTTCACACTGAGGGACCCCTGGCCGCACCCTACTCACAGTTTATTTTTAGAGATCAGCAAAGTTCCAGAGTCCACAGGCACATTCAGGTGTGTTCACCTCCAGCCCTCACACCACTGGCTTACACATGAATGAGCACATGCTGTGACCTCCCAGCACAGAATGTTGGCATGACTCAAATCCAGGACCTTCACGAGCAAAGCACAGAGTGATGAGATTACTGGTTCTGTGGATGAAGGGAAAGCAGTGGATGTATTGTTTCTTGACTTTAGCAAAGCTTTTGACACGGTCTCCCACAGTATTCTTGTCAGCAAGTTAAGGAAGTATGGGCTGGAAGAATGCACTATAAGGTGGGTAGAAAGCTGGCTAGATTGTCGGGCTCAACGGGTAGTTATCAATGGCTCCATGTCTAGTTGGCAGCCGGTATCAAGTGGAGTGCCCCAAGGGTCAGTCCTGGGGCCGGTTTTGTTCAATATCTTCATAAATGATCTGGAGGATGGTGTGGATTGCACTCTCAGCAAATTTGCGGATGATACTAAACTGGGAGGAGTGGTAGATACGCTGGAGGGGAGGGATAGGATACAGAAGGACCTAGACAAATTGGAGGATTGGGCCAAAAGAAATCTGATGAGTTTCAATAAGGATAAGTGCAGGGTCCTGCACTTAGGACGGAAGAACCCAATGCACAGCTACAGACTAGGGACCGAATGGCTAGGCAGCAGTTCTGCGGAAAAGGACCTAGGGGTGCCAGTGGACGAGAAGCTGGATATGAGTCAGCAGTGTGCCCTTGTTGCCAAGAAGGCCAATGGCATTTTGGGATGTATAAGTAGGGGCATAGCGAGCAGATCGAGGGACGTGATCGTTCCCCTCTATTCGACATTGGTGAGGCCTCATCTGGAGTACTGTGTCCAGTTTTGGGCCCCACACTACAAGAAGGATGTGGATAAATTGGAGAGAGTCCAGCGAAGGGCAACAAAAATGATTAGGGGTCTGGAACACATGAGTTATGAGGAGAGGCTGAGGGAGCTGGGATTGTTTAGCCTGCAGAAGAGAAGAATGAGGGGGGATTTGATAGCTGCTTTCAACTACCTGAAAGGGGGTTCCAAAGAGGATGGCTCTAGACTGTTCTCAATGGTAGCAGATGACAGAACGAGGAGTAATGGTCTCAAGTTGCAGTGGGGGAGGTTTAGGTTGGATATTAGGAAAAACTTTTTCACTAAGAGGGTGGTGAAACACTGGAATGCGTTACCTAGGGAGGTGGTAGAATCTCCTTCCTTAGAGGTTTTTAAGGTCAGGCTTGACAAAGCCCTGGCTGGGATGATTTAACTGGGACTTGGTCCTGCTTCGAGCAGGGGGTTGGACTAGGTGACCTTCTGGGGTCCCTTCCAGCCCTGGTATTCTCTGATTCTCTGATATCACTTGGGCTACAGGAGCAACTCCGTTAGCGGATCGTTGTGGTAGGCTGTCACCCTCTTTGCGGAGCACTAGAGGGAGATTTAGCACACACTCTCTCTATTAGTGTGTTACACTTTATTATGCCCAGATCTGTATCAGAAATGTTCATCGAGCCACCTTATACATACTGGTTTTGTGTGTGGGTTTTGGGAGCAGTAAGGCAGAAGAAGCCTGACAAATCGAGTGATTTTCAAAAATACAGCAGCATTGTCTGATACCTGATCATCAGCACTAGCAGTAGAGATGGAAGAGAGGGCAGAAGCACATAGGCTGAGGGATACTTCAGCAGCAGAAAGGAGACACTTTGATAATCTTCCAGCTCTAGAATATGGAGGAAGATATCTGCTGTGCAGCCAGATGCCGAGGCACGAGGATGAGCACCAGGGGATGGCCTTATTGAGCCATCACTACACATTGCACAGGCATAGGCCGTGAATGTGACAAGAGAAAACTGAATGTAAAGCCTGCTAGCAGTCCATAAATCTGTTTGATCTCTTCCTGAGGCAGGAAGGAAACAAAGTATTTTTAAACCAGGGGTCCACAATCATAGCCAAATACAAATATCGTTCTGTGGAAAAAAGGAAGGAAGAGATTTTTTAAATGTCCAAAAATTGATTCGATTTTTTTCCTGTCCTAGTGCATTTCTGGGCCTGAGGGATTCAATGCCTTGGTGAGTTGTTCAAACATTGCACCTATTTATAAGGTTAGAGCATCAAATCAGGGAACAGAAATCACATAATGTGGCTTGGGTAGCTGTGAAGGGGTGTCCACCCCACACAGGACTGTAAGGGGTTAAGGTGGCCAGGTCAGCCTATTAACTCCACAGGCTGCACCTGGAGGAAGAGCCAGGGAGTAAGGATTGATTGCAAGCAGGCTCAGCTGGGCAAGAGAAGGCAAGGCCTATAAAGCCAGGAAGCTGGCAACAAACTCCGGCAGCACTCACTCGGAAGAGGGAGGAGGGTTTGGAGCCGGGGGAGGGGGAACCAGAAGAATAGGAAGCATTCTGGGGAAGGAGCAGTGAGGGCCAGGACAGTAAAGTCAAGAGCTTCTGGGGTGGGGGTCCCTAGACGGGAATCTGGAGTAGAGGATGGGCCTGGGTTCCCCTACCAGCCCTGAAGAGTGGCTCTGAATGGAAAGACTTGGATATACTCCAGAAGCAGTGGGAACACTGAGTGACCTAGCTGGAGAGCTGAGTCACAAAGAAGATGCTGTGGTTCCTGGAATGAGAGAGGAGCTGGAGACCTGAGAGATAGATGGTGTGATGGCGTGCAACCCCAGGAAGGGGTGTCAGCCTTCAGAGAATTTCCAGAGTGACCAGGAGGAGGTGCCAGACAAGTGGTGAGTGGAGCACACTGTGACAGTGACCAGTCACACAGGCTGAAAAGTGAATTCCAAATATCCGGTATTCAAATGAACACTCATGATAAACTCATCTGTCTCAAATATGTTTGTAAAAACTGTTCATTAAACAAGTATGAATAATGCTCACATTAAATCATCATTTCTTTGCAGACCGCTTATGAACAGAAACAAGGTCCAGTTCCAAAGTATAAGTTGTTCACAATTGCAGACAAGGCTGAAGAGTAATAAAAAGAATATTTTGGTCCTAAGCAGAATTCTCTCTAATCATCTGTTCTCCTTCTCTACTTAGCCAACACAACCCCAGATAATGGTTTGTGTAATAGGCTCCCCACACCACAGCAGCAGCCCTGGGAACCCTGGCTGGAGCTGGTTTTCCTGGAGCTGGTAGGCTCCCTGCTGTAGAGCAGCTAAGTGCTATTGGCATTCTTGAGAGACACAGGATAGGTGAGGAAATATCTTTCACTGGACCAGCTTCTGGTGGTGGATGGTACAAGCTTTCAAGCTACACTGCTCGAGGTACACAGTTTGAAAGCTTGTATCTTCCACCAACAGAAAGAAGTTGGTCCAATAAGATATTATCTCACCTACCTCATCTCTCTCCTATACTGGGACCAACACAGGGGCAATAACTTTGCAACTGACATTCTTGTCAG